CATTCCCTCCTTCCTTCCCTCCTTCCTTCTCTCCTTCTCTCCTTCCTTCCCTCCTTTCTTCTCTCCTTCTCTCCTTCCTTCCCTCCTTCCTTCCCTAGAGGGATTTAATCACAGCACAGGGACAGTTAATCACCCTCCGATCTGTCCTTTTGCACCTTTCAGCACAGCCTCCTCCTGTTGGGCCGCAGAGGGTGTGGAGGGAAGAACAAATAAAGGCCGGCCTTCCTTAACAAGGCAGGCACAGCATCACCTCCCCCTCCCTCCCTCCCCCCCTCCCTCTCTTCCTCAGAGGGGGCTTCCCAGAGAGAAATCCCGGGGGCTTCCCAGCCAACTGTGGATGGGTGGATGCCATCCTTCGACCTGGGCTGGCCAGGAGGAGTGGCAGCAGCAGATATCTTTGTCATTGGGGGGGGGGTGTGTCCCCTGGGAGACTTCAGGCCAGGGAAGGCTGCAGCTGACCCTCTCCTCTCCTGCTGGGCAGCCACTGGCCGCTCTCCTGTCGGCTTCTCCCTGGCCATCTGGGGTCATCCAGGCGTAACGGAGGAGGCCGAGAAAGGCTGTTCATCTCCTTTCCCCGTCCAACCCCTTTGCCTGCCTGGGCGCTTCGTCTGGGCAGGTGACAGCCCCCCATCAGCCCCCCAAGCTCTTTCCTTGCCGAAGAGACCTTGGCACCATCGGCCTCAACATCTGTGCTAGAGAGGCCATGGCAGTTCTACATTTAAAAATAGGTATTCCCATAGGTATAGGCAATAGGTAATGCCTATTTTTCGAAAATCTGGAGCTGGAAGGGAAGCCCCACCTCTGTTCCCAAGCTCCACCCACCTCCCTCTCCTTGGTCCTGCGTCCGTCCTCCACCTAACGCCCGACAGGTGTGCTGGAGGCAGGCAAGGAATTGGGGGAGTGGGAGTCCCGTGTGTCGGAGGGACGTCCTTGAACTTACGCCTGAAAAGGGGAGGAAATTCAACATCTCTCTTCTCTCCTCCCCACAAATCATCGGGGGGGGCGATGGCAGGAAGAGGGCTTGTATATGCTGCCGCCCCCCCCCCCCAAGTGGGAAGGAGGGATGGAGGCATCCCCCTCTGTTAAAACATCGGCACACAGTAAATTTCTTCACTTACCGTATAGATCAATATCAAATTATCATGTCTCACATTCATAACTCTTCAGCCAGCCACAATGGGGGGGGGGGGCAAGGTCACGGGAGAATAAATAGCAGCCGGCCGCACTCCCCGATCCATCACTCCCGACAAGCCCGGCTCTCCTGCACCCAGCACTGACAAGATCATTAATAAAGCCCCACCAGGGCCCGATCGATGGGCTGATGGATGAGCACAGGTAGCAGAGGCAGGGAAACAGCTGCCTGTCACGGCTGGCTGAGGAATGGAGGCAGTCGGGGGGTGGGGGGCTCTGCCAGTAGCCCTGGGGGAACGTTTGACTTTGGCCCTGGAGCCCCCCCTGCCTGATGGGTCCTTGGAGACCCTACCGGGCCAGGCCAAACCCCCCCCCCCCGGGACCTTTGATATCCAGGTGTATCTGAGATAAACCAGGATGCCGATGGAGCCTCTGTCCAGATGTCCAGGAGGGCCTTGGGCAGCCTTGGGTGAAGTAGGGCTGGGGTCCCACCCGTTGCCCCAGCCTCCTCCGCCTTTTAAGTCACCAGGGAAGGGATTTCCTTGGGCAAAGCACGTTGCGCAACTACAGCTGTGCTGTTGTGTTGATGCAGATAGGAGGTTGGTGTGTTGTGACGCCCCCACTGAGAGTGAAGACATTAGCCAAGGTGTGCAACCTGGGAGGGGAAGAGGGGGCTTCCCTGCATGCAGACCCACCTGGTGCCTTACCCAATATTGCCCCCTTGGAGGAGGAGGGAGCAGCTTGGGAGGGGGGGCTGCGCTGACCTCCCTGCCTGGCATTTGGCCTGGGGGGGGGGGGTCTGCTTGCTTTTCTGTCCCTGTTATCAAAGTTGAAGTTTGCGTCACTTTAACACAGGCAGAAACAGCCCCCCCCCCCTGGATTCCCCCAGGAAAAACAGCAGGGAGGGGAAGGGGGAACCTGCGCAGTTGCAGAAAATCCTCGCTGGGATCCTGGCTGCTTTTCTCTTCTTGTGGCTCCACTCACAGCGAGGACCCCTGAGGGGGCGGGAGGGGGCTTCTCTGGGGGCCAGTCCTTGGGGGGGGGGCTCTGTGGGGCAGGAAGGCCAGCAGACTGAATCCAGGCATGAAGCCTCTCCTACAGACTCTGCCATGGATTGGAGGGAGGTGGGATGGCAGCGCCCCCCTCCCCCCCCCGGCCATCACCATCGACTGGGGGGGGCACATCAAAGTCTCTCAGCTGACAGAGCAAGGAACAGAGGGGGGGGTGAACACTCCTTCCCTGGCCATGGAGGGCGGGATGGTGAGCTTCTCTAAGGGGGGAGAACTCTGGCTTCCTCAGGGGGGGCTGCTTGGAAGGACACCTTAGGAACCAACAGGAGCCCCCCCCCCTCGCAAGCACCAGCCCAGGCCTGATCTGCAGAGTTGACGGGAGCCCTGAGAGTTAGGAAGGATTTGGGGTGGGGGGGGATGAATAGTCATTGGGTGTGATCCTGTCCCCACTCCCCCCCCCTGCACCTTCAGCCAGGCAACAACCCCCCCCCCCAGGTGAGGAGGGTCCCCAGCTCTTTCATGCCCCGCTGGGCTCTGAGGCTTCTTTCCCACCTCCCATGCGCCCCCCCCGCCAGCTGCTCCTCTTTGGCTGCAGGGGGGAGGGAGCGCTTCCCACCCCCTCCCATGGTCCTGCTCCCCCAGGGCTGGGCAATGCCCCACTCTCTATGGCTGGCATTATCTTTCATTGCGGAATAAAATGCTAAGCTTCCCCGGCCTTTATTGCTGCACCCCCCCCCCCCCAGCAGGGCTGCTGTCTGCCAGGAAAACCCGAGGGGGTGCAGTGGGGATGGGTGTGGCCTCTGCCCCCCAGGTTCTGCTGGTGGGTGGAGGAGGGGCCCAAGCCAAGTCCCCCCTCCACTCAAGGGGGCAACCTTGGCACTACATCTCAGCCCCCCTTCCTTCCCCCCTCGCTGTGCTCCAGCCGAACCTCTGTTCTTGCCCCAGAGGGTCTCCAGGTGGGCTTTGCCAAGCGGTGCCCACCAGGGAGGTCTCTGGGCACCTCCGCCTTTCAGGGGACTTCCCTGGCCAAGCCCATCTCTTCGCTGTTGTAACTCACAGCACAGCCCCCCTCTCCTCCCCTCCAAACACTCTGAAGCAGAGAGCAGGATTGCCCCTGTGTGTGTGTACACATCGATCCCCTCCACCCCCCTCTGTCTTTCCATCCAGCCTGCCAGCAGGGGTGGCTGGCAAGTCCTTGCCCTCCTTTAACGCTGATGGAAGTGACACACTCCCGCTTCTGGCTCTCAGGACCAGCTGGAGGGAAGGAGCCGGCCGGCCGAGCGGCTCCCCCCAGCAACTGAGCCAGAGGCCCCGGCAGGAAAACACACTGGGCTCCCATCACCCCTCCCCTCCATCCCTCAAGTCACCCGCCCAGCCTGAGCCCCTTCAGCCAGGGTGCCAATGGCAGGGAGCATATGCTGGCTGCCCCCTGCCGCACCGCATTAGGGTCAGGCAGAAAGCAGCCGACAAGGGGCTGCCAGGCAGGAAGCCCCCCCCCCTCTCCTGCCCCACCAATTGAACGTCTTGCAGACCACCAAAGCAGGGGATCAGGCGCTCCTGGGCGGGTTCAAGCCAGATGCATCCAAGCCCCCCCAAAGGGTCACCCAGGGCCAAGGCCGTGAAGAACGAAAGGCAACTTGGCACCGGGAAGCCCACCCTTCGCCCCCTGACCAGACAGATGATGGCGTCTGGCTGGCTTTCTGGCTCCAAGGCCAGAATTGGGGCCTTTGGAGGGCACCTGAGGGCTGCAGGAGCCCCCTTCACTCCCTCCAGGAGAGGACACCGGACCAGCAGAGGAAGGGGCTGGATGGGCAGAAACTATTTCTGAGGCAGAGGAAGGGGCCTATAATTCTTTCTCCCTCGCTGTGGCTCAGGGGCTCCATGAAGCCGGTTGGCAGGGAATGCAACGTGGCCGAAAGAAGGATTTTTCCTTGTGCGATGGTTGAAGGCAACCTCCCGTTTCGTGAAGTGGCCCCTGGGGCCTTCGGGAACAGCCTTGGAATGAAAGGGGGCTGGAAAGGCAGCCGGGATTCGAGGCATGGCTGTCCGTCTGTCTGCACGGAGGCTTTCCTGCCTGGTGATGCCCCACGTGGCCTTTCCAACTGAGCCTTCAGGAACGGGGCAGAGCTCGGCCCTCTCTGGGCCGGGGAGCTTTGTGGGGGCTCCGTGGCAGCCCCCCCCCCCATACGCCTCCTGTCCGCCCGAGTCTCTTCTTGCACTTCAGACTCTCGTCAAGGCCGGGCATTCATGTGAGCAGAGGAGCCCCCAGGACAGATGAGCCGTTCCAGGAGACAGCATCCAAAGCGACAGCCGGAGTCAGCCAGTGGCCTTGGAAGGCTGCCTTGGTCACCCTCCCTCACGGGGGCACCTGCGTGTGGATGCCACGAGATCCTAAAGGGTCCCTTTGGTCCCCCTGGGCCCTTCTTGGCGCCAAGGCCAGTAGCCAGAGGTGAATGACAGAGGAATGTCTGCCTGAACCCCCCTGTCTCTAAGGAGGCCAGGCTGGGTGAGAGCAGCTACTTAACAGAATAACCCAGTTGGAAGGGACCTTGGAGGTCTTCTAGTCCAACCCCCTGCTTAGGCAGGAAACCCTCACACCTTCAGACAAATGGTTCTCCAATCTCTTCTTGGAAAACTCNACACACACACACACACACACACACACGTTGCAAACCTCCCATTCCGCAGGCTCTGCCTTTCGCATGTGGGTGGTGAGGACAGCCCTTCTCCCACCCCTCATTAATCTCCCTCCCTCTAATTGTTTGCCATCCTCCCCCACCCTCGCCCCTCCAGCCCCTCTTCCCCACCAATGGAAATCTCCCTTCCGAGAGAGAGACGCCATTCATCCGGCAGCCTCCGCTCTGGGGGGGGGGGGGGGCTTGGAGAACCCGGCCACTGGGATCAATTCCTGGGATTTTGGACGGAGGGATCAGGAAAAGGAGCCCCCAGGAGGTTGAGCGGCCCCCTCTTCCCTGGCCCTGCTGTTGGTCACCCAGGAAGGATGGGATAACGGGCCCCACAGGCTGTGTGGCTCTGCCTGCGGCCACGGAGGTTTTTAGGGGTGTGTTCTGCACCCATTAAGGGCGCCCCATGGCCGGCTTCAGCAGCTGATCCCAGCCTGTCTTTCCCCAGTCCTTGCCCCATCCCTCCGGTGAAGCCGCAAGAGTTCTTGCAGCCATGGCTTGCTCCAGAGAAGAGCTTGGGGGGGGGGGGGCGAGACGTCCTCTCAGAGTCAGAGGTCCTGGTGCTGAAGCGGCCTTTGGCTTTTCAAACCAAGGAGATCAGAAAGCGGCTGGCCCACTGTCAGCAGGATGGGAGGAGAGCCACTTTGTGGCTGATGGAGGGATGGGGGAAACGGCTGCTCACTGCCCCGGCCTCTGTGTGTGGGGGGGGGCTTCCATTTCCCCTTCAGTGCAGCAGCTACATGGATTGCACTCCATCATTCTGTGTGGCCCCCACAATACCTGCAGAAACCTGTCTGAGCTGGGAGTGAAGCCCCTCCCTCTGATTACACCAAAGCCCCCGTCCCTCCTGGGATCCCGGAAGAGCCCTGGGACCGGGATGCCCATCGCTTGGAGGAGGACGGCAGAAGAGACAGGAGAATAGAAACGCAGACCTCGCGTTTTCCGAACAGCTTCCCTCCCAGAGCTATAATTGCACTCAGCAATGAACTAAAGGGCCTCCGTCGGGGATCGGTTGGGCCTCATGGCTTGGTCTGTTGTGTGGGTGCTTGGGGGGGGGGGGGTTCAGGGCCGGGGAATGTTTGATGTGGGTGTGTGGGGATTGTTGTGTGTGTTGGGCCTGGTCTCTGGGTGTTCTGGGAATTTCCTTGCAGGGGGATACTGTGTATAGACGGACAATGACAATATATTCTTCTTAAGAGTTTAAGCGTGCCCAAGTGCCTGTGAGCGGATGGCAGAGGCTGCGTGGTGAAGGGGGCGCTGAAAGCCCTTCAGGCAGAGGGCCCTGGAGTTGGCCTTGGTGCAGGATGAAGGCCAACTGGGAGGGACCCCTTAGCTCCCCCTCCCCAGAACCCGTGCCCTTCTCTCCTCTCCCCAGGGGACACGGCCATGTACCAGGAAGGCGCCTACTGGATCAGGGGACGGACCTCGGTGGACATCATCAAGAGCGGAGGCTACAAGATCAGCGCCCTGGAAGTGGAGCGCCACCTGCTGGCCCACCCTAGCATTGCAGGTGCTGTCTGTGCGCTGCCATTTTGCTCTTGATTAATGGAGGGCTAATTGCGTAGACCAGTGTTTTTCAACCTTGGCCACTTGAAGATGTCCGGACTTCAACTCCCAGAATTCCCCAGCCAGCATTCGCTGGCTGGGGAATTCTTGGAGTTGAAGTCCGGACATCTTCAAGTNAACTGCAGAACTACAGTCAGTTGAAGTAGCCTGCACTGCTGCATTTAACCACTGCGCCACCTCGGCTTTGGATGATGGGTTCCCTTCCTTTCCCGAGAGCCAGGCAGATCCCTCTTCTCTTCCGGCTCCTTCATCCTCCCCTGCAGTTCCCCTACGCGGCTGCACCTTTCTGCATTTTGCTTCCCCCGCCGGATTATCTTCCCGCCTTCTGTTTCATTCTCCCAGCCTGAATGCGCACGCCAAAGGCCCCCCACCCACCGGTCTGTGTGGAGGGTCTCTGCTCAGCTGAAGAGCTCCTCTCTTATTGGGGGGGGGGATGAAAAGGGGATGAGGCCAGTGGGGAAAGCAAGTGGCAGGAATTCCTCTGCAATCAACTTCAGTCCAGCTTCCTTTCCACCCAGCAGCCTCTGGACGGACGGCCTGAGTCCTTCCCCCTTTTATTGAGCCTGCCTTGCCCAGGAAAGTGGGAAAGTCATGCTTTGGTCTTTAAATAGCTGGACCCCCAGCCCTCCTGATTTCCTCCCCCCCCCCCAAGATTGTGTAATCCTGGCCAGGTAACCCTCTGTGGAGCGATGGCCTCTGCTCTTTGCCCCCCAGAAGCCCGCTCCTCTGGTGGGTGCCTGAGAGCAGATTGGCCCCGAGAGGGAGGGGGAGCAGGGGGGGGGGAAGCCGGCAGCCCCCTTGCTTAGAGACCCTCCGCCAGACAAGCCTCCCCATTGCGGCGGCCACTGCCAAAGCCTCCAGGCGCCGTCCCCCTGTTGCCACCTCAGTGGATTATTTAATCATTTTCTTGAGAAGATTCCCGGGAAGGTGCTCCCCCCCCCCCCCCCTGGGAAAGGGGGCGGGTGGGCTGTTGCCGGCTTCTGCCTGGTGTGTAATTGATCCCGGAGCTCTTCCACCAAGGAGAGGCACAGAGTGCGGGAAGAGTGGGGGGGGGGGCGGGAGGGTGTTAACTCCGGCATCTTGGTTATTCCAATTACTTACAGGCAGGATTCAGCCTCTCAAGCTGCTGAGTGGCTCAGCTCTTTCCCGTGGCATTCCCTTTCCACCACCTGCAGCACCTGAATGCTAAGGTGGGGGGAAGGAGAGAGAGAGAGAGTCTCCCCAGTTTGAATGACCCCCCCCAGCCCCTCCTCTGCAGCAGCCCCTCCCCGCCCTGGGCTCTTCCCCTCCGGGGGCCCTTTGCGTGGAGGGCTGGGAGAGGCGGTGGGTGTTCACAGAATCTCCAGGTCGTACCCCGTGGCATCCTCTTGCGAGTCCAAAGATGCCATGGGACTGGTGGGCAGCCATACCCTGCCTACACCTGCACCTGGGGGCACCTGAAACAGGATGATCTGGATGAGATCCCCTCCCCTCTGGGGGTACCCGCTTCCCCCCCACCCACCTTAGTGAGCAACTGAATTGAGAGCTCCCTCTCCTCGAGACCATTCTCTGCCCCAGCCCTCCCNTGATAAATAAATAAAGGGAGACTAGTATAGATCTATTTCAAGCTATTTAGCTCTCATCAGCTAGCCATACCCTTACTGGGATTCGAACCTGGGCTATATTGCATACTAGGCAGAGATCTTAGCCATTAGGCCACAGGCTCTTATCTGTTATCAGCAAAGCCAGGGTGAAAGGTATCTATTAGATTTTTTTACAACCCCTGGTAAGCCCCAATTATGGGAGGAAGCTAACTGCTTCCAAGATGATGAAAGCAGTTAGCTTCCTCCCATAATTGGGGCTTACCAGGGGTTGTAAAAAAATTAATATATATATATATGTGTGTGTGTGTGTATTACTATTATTGTACCTCAAACCTTCATTTGACTATAGTTGACTGTAGTGAAGTCCAGAAGTCTTAAAGTTCCTGTGGTAGAGGGACTCACCCCCCTCTTTAAAAATCCTGGTGTGGGGGGGGGAGAACACTGGGAAACATTTTCATGGCCCTGGCAATCAAACTACAGCGACATGTTGACACCCCCCCACCCCCCCTGAGCTCCCCTTGAAGAGGACTAGAAGCCGAAGGGCGTCTCTTCCCACAGAAAACGTGAAAGAGCAGAAATTTCAGCCTAGCAAAGTCTGAATTGAGTCCCATCCTTTGCTAGAAGACGACTGTCCCTGGGCAGCCATTGCTCATCCCTCTTCCTTCCCCTCCGGCTTCTCCTTCGGCTCTTCTCCCCCTGGATTCCCTGCCCCCCCCCCCTGCCCCCTCAGCTCAGCCCATCCGGCCCTCTTCTCCCAGCCTCTGGAGCAGCCCCAACACATGTGCTGTCTGTCACAGCCGGCCGGCCGAGGCTATTTTAGCTCCTGTCCCAGGCACAACCGCCTCGGCCCCCTTGGGCAGCAGCAGAGCAAGCAGGGCTCCAGCGACGGCTGACCAGGCGCCCCCCTCCTGCCCCGAGATGGTCCCCCTCCTCTGGCTCAGCACCTGCCTCCTGGCCACCCTCACAGCCCAGGTAAGCCGGGCAAAAGGGGTCTGCCTCCTTTTGGGCTCCTGCAGCCCCTGAAACTCTGTTCCCAGGAGACCCCAGCCATCCGGGTGGGCTTCAGGGCCGCTCTTAAGAGGGAGGGAGGGAGGGGGGGAGAGTGGATCTCCCACCTCTCAGGAGGGATCCAGCCAAGGATCTGCTGCTGGAGACCAGAGGGGCTCCCAGGTGCAGAATCCACAGTTCCCACCCTACTCAAGATCCCTCCGGAGCATTTTCTTCTGCGGGAGGGGGGGGATTCTCAGCAGCTCCTGCTTTGGACTACAGAGACCATGCTCCATGACTCGTGATGATGGTGACCGCCTTGGTGCCCCCATTCTTAAGTTGTTGGGGAAAGAGTCTGGGCGTCTCCTTGGGGCCGATCTGTGGGAGAGAAGCCCCTCCAGGGGGGCCTGGGCTTGGCGAGTGCCCGTTGCCAGGGTCCCGCCCGGAGGACCAGAGGACGATCCTTTTGGCTTCATTGTGATCCAAGAGGCGGCAACATCTGCACTGGGCCAGGACGGCACTCCTGGGAGCCTCGCCAGATGTGGCCCATGTCGAAAGGGCTTCCCGTCAGCCTTGCGTTGAAGTCAGGGAAGGGGGCTGGTGCCGGGGGTCTCGCCTGGATCCCTTCCCCCAGGCAGGAAAGGGAATCAAGCAGGCACAGTTGCCAGCCTGCCCACTTTCCTTTGCTTCTGGGCCCCCCACTGAGGGCCCCCCACCCCTTTGTGGATGCTTCCCTGCATGGGGACAAAGAGGTTTTAAAAACGAGAGGGTCCCCCCCCCCAGTTCAAAAGACCCCGAAGTTTCCCTGCCCCCCACCCTCCCCTGGTGCTGCTCCTTTGGAGGTGGAGATGGGGCCAAACGGCTGGCATTCGTCCCAGCTAGGCAGCCCTTTGGCTCTTGGCCCAGGGAGGGAAGGAGGCGCCCCCCCCCATCCCCTCTGCCAGCTGCCCCAAGACAACACAAGCCTGGAATGTCGGGTGGGGGGCAGCTGGGAGCGGAAGAATGCGAGTCCTTGGCTGGGGGGTGGGGAGTGGGCTGCATGTGGCTTGCATTAGATCCGCTTTGCTGCTAAGTTTAACGGTGGGGGGGGGGAATTGCAGGGAGGGGAAGGCTGGCCACGCAAGGGCCCAGTTCATCTCCCCTCCCCACAAGTTCTTGTCTGCCCCCAGGGGCTTAAACTGGGTCAGTCCTGTGGGTGGGAGAAGCCCCCTTGCCACATTTCAAAGTAACCCACTTCTGTGCAAGACCCCCCCCACTAAATCAATGTTTTTTTTTCCCTTGGGAGGGGGGAATTTAATCTGCTGGCTTGCATTTCCCATCAACTGAGCACCTCCAGCATCTCAGAAGGGCCCAACTTGGGGGACCCTGCCTGCCCCCCCCCCACTCACCCCCAAGCAGGAAGGGAGGGGAGGCCCCTGCCCCTGTCTGGGCATTGGGGGGGGGAGACAGCATTCTTCCACCAGCGGCTTCTGCATTTGTTCAGCCAGCTGCTGGGGTGGAATTCAGAACTGGTCAAGGAGGGGACCCATTTCAAGGCCCAGAGAAGGGAGGGTCCCCTTGGGGGGGGGGTGAAGTCTGGCCAGCCTGCAGAGCATCTCTGATCAGCAAAGGGAGCAGCCTGCCCCATGGACAGAGGGAGGGAGGGAAGGGTCAGCTGAGGCGCAGAAGGTATCGCCTGGGCTCTGAAGGGCCATTGGCACCAGCACAGCCCCCCTCAGCACGAAAGACTCCGAGGACCTCCCTGGAAGACCCCTGCGTGGGGGTTGGTTAGGGGGCAGCAGGGAGGGGGTCCTCTGAGTTGCCGCTTCTGCACTACCAAATGGGGGGGGCTCCGATTTTCCCACGTCTGTTTCAGGCCCTTCTTGAAAGTCTGGGGCTCCCCCTGAGGGACCTTTCCCAGTTGAGGCTTCTCAAATTATACGACGCTGCCGTGGCTTTTAATTAAAATGGGCTTCTAGGCCATGGCTTCACCAACCTCTTTTGGGCAGGGGGTGGCCCTGGGGCGACCAGGATCTTGGCAATTGGCTTCGGGAAGGCAAGGGAGGCCCCGGGATCGGCTGTGGCCTCTGAGAGCCACCGAGAGAGCCCGGACCACGATGCAGCCGTGTGGGAAAGGGTCAGAGGCCGAATTCTCCCAAAGCAGAGCCAGGGAAGGAATGCCGGAAGTCCCAGCCGCTCCCTTGGGATGAGCCTCGGCTGAGCAATCCCACGCAAGGAAGGCAGGGCTGGGGGGAGGGGGGGGAAGAGGAGCCCCTGCTGGGCCTCTGGCTGGACCCTCCGCCCGGCCTCTCGAGGGGCTTCCGGAGGTCCCGTCACAAGCAATGTTGTCTCGGCCAAACTTGCAATATTTGGTTTTCTTCCAGAAATGCTGCTTTGCCCCCCCCCTCACCCCCAGCTAAGAAAAGGGAAGCGCATTTACCCAGCCAGCAGGGGAAGGAAGCCCCTTCAGGGACCCTCTGGGCCTCCCAGGCTGTTGGGGGCTCTTGAGTTGCCGGGGGTCCTGCCTGATGGAAGGAGAGCCCTGGCTGAGAAGTCCTTGGCCAGCCTCCTCCCTGGGCTGAACCAGGGGGGCTTCCAACCTTCCCTTGCAAGCCCCAAGAGCAGCTGCTGGCCAAATGGGCCCATGGGGGGGGGTTAGTCCCTGCAGTGGGGCAAGGAGGGAGGGGGCGACCGAGCAGCAGCAGGGAAAGACCCCCAGGGACCCTGGCAGCACCTGTCCAAAGGCCTCAGCCTCCTTTTGTTCATGGAAGGTCTTGGGAAGAGAAGAG